CCACTGCACTCCAGTCTGGGCGACAGAGCGAGACTCCAACTCAAAAAAAAAAAAAGAAGACCTTTAGAAAAGTTGGTGCAAAATAGCTGCTCGGGTATCTTTTAAACTGCCTATTTTAAAACATGTATATAACTTTGGGGGTTTTTTTTAGGTTTTTCTTTTTTAGTCGGAGTCTCACTCCGTCACCCAGGCTGGAGTGCAGTGGCACGCTCATGGCCACCTCAGTGTCGACCTTCTGAACTCAGGCAATCCTTCTGCCTCAGCCTTCCAAGTAGCCAGAACTACAGACGCGCGCTACTACGCCTGGCAAATGTTTTGATTTATTGTAGAGACGAGGTCTGCCAAATTGCCCAGGCTGGTCTTGAACACACAGGCTCAGGCAATCCACTCTCCTCAGCCTCCCAAAGTGCTGGGATTACAGGCTGAGCCACCGAGCCCAGCCATAACTTCGTTTCTAAGTTTTGTATTTAATCAACTGAGATGTAAAATATGAATGATGACAATATGGATAACATTTGAAACTAGTCTGATAACTGTATATCTAAAAAACCTTTTCAACGTGTTTTGCAGAGGAAGGACTGAGGTTATTTGTGGGGCCTGGGGGAAGCACAGCCTTCGGAAGTCATCACCTTCCAAATAGGTATGGCATGGAATCTTATTAAAATACAGACCGACTGTTTTTAAAAATATGTATTCATGTATTGAAGATGATGGTTGCAGTGTTTTTATTGGGCTGAAGCTGGGAAGCACAAACATTAGTAATTACTTTTTTTTTTTTTTTTTGAGTTGGAGTCTTACTCTGTCGCCCAGGCTAGAATGCAGTGGCACACTTACGGCCACTGCAGCCTCGACCTGCTGGGCTCACATGATTCTTCTCCTTAGCCTTCCAAGTAGCTGGAACTACAGGCATGCGCCACCATGCCTGGTTAATTGTTTTATTTATTATAAAGGTGAGGTCTTGCCGAGTTGCTCAGGCTGGTCTCGAACCCATGGGCTCAGGCAATCCTCTCACCTCTGCCTCCCATAGTGTTGGGATTACAGGCATGAGCTACCGCATGCAGCCAGAGTTACTATTCTTAGCATCTGTCTTTGTTCTCCTTATTCTAGGTATTAACATTACATTTAACAAGTTTGTTAATTTCCTTAGATGTATTTTTAGAATAAATTAATAAAGGATCAGTGGAGCGTTGGTCAACTGGCAATATAAAAAAATATTTTTGTAAAATTCAAGTCTCACTCTGTGCAGTGGCACAATCACAGCTCACCATAGCCTCAACTTCCTGGGCTCAAGTGATCCTTCTGCCTCAGTCTCCCGGCTAACTGGAACTACAGGCACGTGCCACTCTGCTCAGCTAATTTATTATTATTATTACTATTATTATTATTATTTGTAGAGACGGAGTCTCACTCTGTTGCCCAGGCTGGTCTCAAACTCTTGGGATCGAGCAATCCTCCTGCCTCAGCCTCCCAAAGTACTGGGATTTATAGGCACGAGCCATGGCACTCAGTCTTGGGTAGCTCATATACACTAACTAAAGGTCCAACTTGCAGAGTTAGGATAGAGATGATTCTATAATACGTGCTTAGCATATTGTGTGTATACAGAGACACTCAGTGGTTGGTGGGTATTTGTGTGTGTGTGTGTGTGTGTGTGTGTGTGTGTGTGTGTGTGTGTGTGTGTCGAAGTCTCACTCTGTCGCCCAAGCTAGAGTGCAGTGGCATGCTCACGGCCACCACAGTCTTGACCTGCTGGGCTCAGGCGATCCTTCTGCTTCAGCCTTCCAAGTAGCCACCAGGCCCAGCTAATTTTATGATTTATTGTAGAGATGAGGTCTCACCAAGTTGCCCAGACTGTTAGCAAACCCCTGGGCTCAGGAAATCCTCTCGCCTCCGCCTCCCAAAGTACTGGAATGACAGGCATGAGCCACCATGCTCATGTATATATATATCAGAGTAGTTGACATTTAGCACTGGATCTATCCTGTGAGGTAAGCTAGGGTGGACGAAACCAGAATCATTTGCCGAGGGACAGAAGAGGCCCAAGAGTTATGGTTCAGAAGGGAACCTGTGAGAATGAAGAGCACATTGCAGTGAGCCCTAGGGACTGGCAAGGTGACCCTGCCTAACTCTGTCCCAGCTGTGGCCAGCCCAGCTGTCTCCCAGGGCCCTGCGTGTACCTGCTTGCTTGTCTTTGGGGACTTTCAATTTTTCCTGACAAGAAATCTGCTTTTATTTCTATTTTGCTTCTTCTGTATGTGACATGTCTTATCTTTGGCTGCCTTGATGTTCTCTTTATCCCTGGTCTTTGGCAGTTTGGGTATCATGTGCCTCAGTGTGTTTCTTCTGCTTGGGGTTCCTTGGGCTTGTGGATCTGTGGGCTCATGGATCTGTGGGCTCATAGTGTCCATCACTTGTGGAAATCCTCCAGCTATCCTTTACCCACCATCCTCCTGGTGTTCTCACCCATAGACTCCAGGCCAGCCCCTCAAGCTCTGACCTCTGACTCCGCCTCCAGCTGTGTGCGGACCCTCCCGGCCTCGGGCACCGAGCTGGGCCAGTGTCAGGTGTTCTGTGTTTATTTCCCTTTTTGTGGGACCACAGTCCTGCGCTGACTGTTATCCAGTGTGTGCAAACTGTCATTTTCTATATTCTGTCCAGTTTTCTACTTATTTAAGGCAGGAGGGGAAAGTCTGGTTCCTGTTACTCCGTCGTGGCTAGAAGGAGAACATACTTAAGAGGGCATCTAAAAGCCAGCGTGCAGTAGAGTTTCCACGGTGTCTTCAGATCCTGATTACCTATAGTTAGGAGTGGGTGTTGTTCATGGCATCTTCTGTAGCATGAATCTATAAGAACAGGAGCACTGGGCATGGTGGCTCATGTCTAAAATCCCAGTACTTTGGGAAGCAGAGGTGAGAGAATTGCCTGAGTCCACAGGTTCGAGACTAGTCTGGGCAACTTGGTGAGTCCTCATCTCTACAATAAATTAGCTGAGCGTGGTGATATGTGCCTGTAGTTCCAGTTACTTGGAAGGCTGAAGCGGAAAGATCACCTGAATCCAGCAGGTCGAGGCTGCAGTGACCGTAAGCATGCCACCCACTCCAACCTGGGCAACAGAGTGAGACTTCAGCTCAAAAAAATAAAATAACAGGAGTTTTTCAGCAGTGAACTGAGAATTCTAGCCCAGTTCATGATAGACTGGTAACCACTACCTCACTTTTCTCTTTTGGAATTTCCTCTTAAAATGCCATTAAGGAGGCCAGGTACAGTGGCTCATGCCTATAATTCCAGCACTTTGGGAGGCTGAGGCAAGAGGGTTGCCTGAGCTCAGGGGTTCGAGACCAGCCTGGGCAACTTGGTGAGACCATGTCTCTACAATAAATCAAAAAACTAGCCAGACGTGGTGGCACGTGCCTGTAGTTCCAGCTACTTGGAAGGCTGAGGTGGAAGGATTGCCTGAGCCCAGCAGGTTGAGGCTGTAGTGGTTGTGAGCATGCCACTGCCCTCCAACCTGGGCAACAGAGTGAGACTCTGACTAAAAAAAAAAAAAAAAATTCTATTAAGGGGCCAGGTGCAGTGGCTCACACCTGTAATCCCAACACTTTGGGAGGCTAAGGTAGATCACCTGAGCCCAGGAGTTCAAGACCAACCTGGGAAACATAGTGAGACTCTGTCTCTATAAGAAAATTTAAAAATTAACT